ATCATGCTTGAAGCTATCGAACGCGAGTTTGAAGGTTACATTCACATAGCATTGAACTTCTTAGCTTAATTTATATCCATTAAAAGAGGTCAAGTAGGTAAGTTATATTCTGTTTTATGTTCTTACTTTGCAGCTGCTACAAAAAGTTTTGAAGAGCTAAAGGCTAAGGATTCAACCGAAGACAATGATGATGATCATGAGCACTGTAAAAAAACTCTTCCTCTTATTATTTTGTTTGTGCAATTTTATTTCAAATGTATCCTGAATCAGCTTTGTTTCAATGTTTTGTTACAGCTGCAAGGAGAAAAAGTATGCTTGAAGCTATCGAACGCGAGTTTGAAGGTACTTAAACATATTCCTTTCTCTGAGTTTGAAGAAACCTTGAACCATTCTTGGTGCAATAAGTCTTGTAATTAGATGAATCAAATCATATACATATAGTCAAAATATAACATGAAGTGGTTTTTTTTTTGTTTCCCTGTTTCAGCCGCGACAAGAGCTCATGCAGAAAAAGGTAAATAATCTGATCCATTGTTCCTCTCAAAGCCTTTCTCAGACAAATTTTAGACCTTATTTCTTTTTTTTTTTGTTAACAGCTGAAGATAAGAAAAACCATATGTTGGAAGCAATCGAACGCGAATTTGAAGGTAACCTCGAGCGTATCAAACGTAAAAACAATGAGAGTAGTGTATAGAATCTAACATTTTGGTTTGTTCCTCTTGTTCATTTCTAACTTGCAGCTGCTACAATTGCAAAGGCTAATGGACAAGACTGTAAGAAACTTTTTAAAGTCGTTTTCATTTATGTCATTTTCGATCTTTAAATGGTTTTTTTGAGTTAGCTTTTACATGTTTTGTTACAGCAGCTACAAAGGATCTTCCAACCACAAATATAGTGCAGAAAACTTATGGTTTAGACAGTCTACTAAAGCCTTCAGGTTAGCTTTTGATCTTCATTCTTGTGAATGTTTTCAACAAAAGAAACTCACAAATAGAGAGCTACTCTTAATTTCTCTTTCTCTCTGTTTGTTTTTCTTGTAGATGGTGTATGTGGCTGTTTTAACAAAGACAAAGATGGTCTTAAGGCAGATATGGATTCTTCGATCAACATAGCGGAGATAATCGCTGAAGAATCCAAAATTCAGGTTTGCTATTATAGATCAATGGAATTAAGTCTCTCACATTTAAAATATTCAATCTTTAGTTTTTCTTGACTTGGTTTCGTCTTTTTGATATTGGCTTTGGTAGGGCTCAGAGAGATCTAGCCTCACCACATCATTGAACAATCTTGTTCATACACATAGAAAAGAAACTTCCTCAAAGGTAGGCACAGTTCTTGGCTCATCATCATCAGTTACTTCCACCACAAGCGAATCATCCGCTACATCAGAGAACATAGAGAGCTTGAAGCTAACATTAAGGAAGCTACGTGGTTTAAGCGCGCGTGATCTCGTAAACCATCCGAATTTCGACGAGATTATAGAAGCCGGTACACGTTACGAGGTACTCAGCTCAGCTTCTATTGGTTACATCTCTTTGCTAGCCAAATACAAAACCGTCATTAAAGAAGGAAACGAGGCTTCTCAGCGACTTCAGGTAGCGCAAACCCGAGCCAAACTGTTCAAAGAAACCGCGTTGGAGAAGCAGAGAGCCGCGGACGCTGAGTTCGCGTCCGCTAAGGCTCTTGCTCAAAGTGGAGACGCATTGTCTGTGAGAATCTTTGCGATCAAGAAACTGTTGGCTAAGCTTGAAGAAGAGAAAAAGAATGTTGATTTGAAGTTTAAGTCGACGGAGACGAATCTTGCAAAGCTTCTCAAGGAGGCTTCTCAGGCTTACGAGGAGTATCACGAGGCGGTACGGAAGGCGAAAGAGGAGCAAGCTGCAGAGGAATTTGCTATTGAGACTACTAAAAGAGCAGAGCTTATTTGGGTTGAGTTTCTTAGTTCACTTAATTGAGCTAATGAGATTCTTGATTGTGTTTAAAGCACATCTTCAGTTAGTTGTGGTTCTTGTTTTTTATTTTCTTTGCTTGTTTTGTTTGAGACTTTGTTTGCTGGTTATATCAGGAGAGAGAGAGGTTAAGAGAGATTTGTGAACACATATAATGTTTTAGTAGTCTAATAAACTTCTTTTTAATAAAAAATCTTATTGTTAATACTACAAAATGGTAGAATGTTGAAAAAAATTTATATGATATCACTCATATAGTTAGCCAATTCTTCCTGGCTAGTAGTACTACACAGTACACGACAAACAAAAAAAGTAGTACTACACAGTACTATTAACAATTGTATAAGCCATAACTGGAAAGAAAAAGAGTTCAGGGGCCAAAATGAGAAATCCAGATTATTTTTTTGTCAACTGAAATTTGTTTTAGTAAATAAAATAATAACATTAAATAGAGAGATTAGTCCACCATTCTCTTAATAATTCAAAATTGACGTCAAAAAGGACGTTGTAACCACTTAAATAGATTCTTTTTTTGTCGGTTCATAAATTTATTCTTAAAATTCAACAGATCATTACATAATTGAACTTGAAAATAAATAAAATAACTAAAGATATTTGAGTGGTTGGTAGATTTAAGTGAAAAAAATTTCGATTATGTTATCTTTTTTTTTCCAAATTTAATTGGGAGATTAGGTTTAATTTACCTTGTTAGTTAACATTTTTATTGATTCTTTTTTTCTTACGTTTAATCCTACAAAATTTCATGGAAATTCATACAACTTCCCGCAGAAAACAATGAAACAGAGTAGCCCACACGAGTGGCTACTCGCTTGCACGTGTGACCAATCTCAAACTCGGAAAAGCAAAACCACAGATTAATTAATTGATTTGACGTCAGCAAACAATGATTAATTTAATGAAATAAACACAATTGGGAAAAATCAATTAATAATAAGAAAACAAATTAAAATCAGCCACCGCTCTCCTTGCTCAGCTCTGACTCCGTTAACTCTCTCTCTCTCGCCGCGATTCTGTTCAGCTCTTGGAATCGCTCAAGCTTAGATCACGAGAGTATATACTGTATGCAATGTAATG